TAAGCCTGTCAATCCAATTTGATCCTCACATCATTTTAAAGATTTCATATTCATAGTTATGACCAGTTATCGAAAAAGACGAAAAATCTTAAAGAAACCTTGCGTGCTCCGGTACAACTATTTGCCATCAGTGCAGTCATGCAAAGTTTACGTTGATTCACAATGGAGACGTTCGCAAGGGTCTGCAAGCTGAGTAGCATACATTACATTACATGGGAAACTCCGGAAAAATCTCACTTTCGCTTGCAATTATTTAGCGAAAACTGCGACTTCTATGATGAAGCCAGAAAAACTGAAGGCTTAGATCACACAGAAGTGTTTACACAAGGCAGTAAAAGACAAAGGTATTAGTGATACGACATTGCCAAGTCTGAAATATTTATATGTAGAAGTACAAATGAGACAGCTATGTTGTACACAAATGCTATGGCAGAGCTTGCGACTATATCTTCGGCACATAGCAAGCACAAGAGATTCAATAATAAAACATTAATCAGAATCATGGGACCAAAACACGACCAACACATCCCTAACGAAAGTACTGAGTGCAGTCGTGCTACATAATATATATATATATATATATATATATATATATAATATTATGCATATAATAAATAACTGATTTGGTTGATAATGTGTTTACCACAGAGATGCGTAGCATGCTGGTTTGGCTACATCATGTCTAGGTTGCAGGGGTAGGACACAGGAAAGTATGCCACGCACGAGGGAAGACACACCACAAGCGTGGTAAAAGCGATTCCTTTGCAAGCGCTGGTCGCGCCAGTTTGACAAATTTTGTTGAGTCACATGAGTGTATGAAGTGTATATGAATATAAGAAGAGAACCTTAGAATATGAGTGTATCTAGCTTTACAATATTTTTGTAAAGCCATGCAATTTCACCCTAACTCTCGATAACACAGCCGCATCGATGGAGACGCTTGGGCTGCCTTTTATCTCATTGGTATCCAACAGGCAAAACTCTTGAAAGGGGAGGGCAAACGGCAACAAATAGGTACTAGTAATTTACCCGCACTTCTTATATAATCAGGTAACGTCATACGACTGCTTAGCCGTGTGGCATTAGATGGGCTTCACGCCAAAATGGTCTACATGCTACAGAGCCTAGTAGTGGATGACACTGTGCCAAACACGCTTAATTGGTTAGCTGGATCAAATAGAGCCGGATGGAACTTCTGTTTACAGTACTAGTGTTCACTGTAATGATTTTGCTTAAACGTAATTTAAGTTCTTCGATCTAGGCCTTGGTAAGTCGTTAAACAATGATGCCAAGCTATACACTGAGGGCAGCAAGCGTTGTACTCCACCACTTGCTGTTAAAGAAACAAGTAGATGCCGAACTAGACAGTACAGGTACAGGTACATGACAGTACAGGTACAGGTACAGGACAGTACTGGTACAGGTTCGTAGAAGGAATTTCAAATACCGTCGACATTTTAGACAGGTGCATGTGCGCCAGTTGCACCCGTTGTGAAGCCGTATCATGGAATACACGTATGTGGTGATAACAAATTAACCGTAATTTCTACAACAACGGTCGATCGTAATCTCATCCCAAACAGAGGATCTTTACTCAAACTGACTCAGGTTGCGGTTTGATTAGAAATTGAGGCTGATATTTGAAGTTGGATTTTAGCCACGATTGCCAGCAGGTTTATATCCACGAGGACTAGCAAAAGCTAATGACGATTATTTACCAGAAAACCCCATTTGCCTGCTTGCAAGTTAAGTGATAGGATTTCGAATTTCGAATTTTTAGTTATTAGTTTAGATCTTCTCCCCAATTTTTCAGCATACATTCCCACTGTCATCATGTAATAGGTGTCAGGATGTACTCGACAAGAGACACAGTGCGAACCTCTATGAAGTGTGTAAGGCGACTACAAGCTCCGGCGTTAGATAGCATCAAAGAAGAGCTCGTTTCTGGAACGTGTTCATGATTATCTAGTAGGTCACAGCTTTGTTTCTGAAGATGGAATCCGACAGCGGGGCTGAGGTGCTATATCTAGGAATAGTGAATTACCACAGTTCAAAATTCTCTCGCCCGGGTTATTGGGACCTCACAAGTGCCGTACCACCGTAAATGCCAGACCATAGAATTTCCCTCTATGAATCCGCTTATTTTCTCGTTATCCACCATGTATGGTTTTGTTCAATGGCTGTAGATAATATAATATTCTTTTGCGGCAGTTTTCACATTATGAAGTACCTATCTGAAAAACCAGCCTCCATTGCGACACCGTGGTAATGATAGAGTTAATGGTGGCCGCAGCGGCGGCGGCGGCGGCGGCGACGACGATGGCGGATACGGCGGCGATGTTTGTGATAGTTGGTTGGCGCTGGTGGTTGTGATAGTGTTAGTGTTAGAGTTAGTATTACTTTTAGTGTTAGTGTTAGCGTTATAGCGTTAATGTTCGTGTTAGTGTTAGTGTTAGTGTTCGTGTTCGTGTTCGTGTTAGTGTTAGTGTGCGGTGTTACGTGGTACGTGTACGTTTTTTTTACGTTTGTTTTTTAACCGTTTTTTTGTTTAACGGGTGTTTTTTTTAACGGTGGGTAAACGGGTTTTATGTATTTTTACGTTTGGTTTAACGTGTACGTGTACGTGTACGTGTACGTGTACGTGTACGTGTACGTGTACGTGTACGTGTACGTGTACGTGTACGTGTTAGTGTTAGTGTTAGTGTTACTGTTACTGTTAGTGTTAGTGTTAGCGTTAATCTTCGTGTTAGTAATAGTTATAGTATTAGAAGATTATTATCTTCACTGCTTTAAAATACGCGATGTTTCCCTTCTTCGAAAGGGTCGTCTTAAATTAACCTAAATAACCATTCACTTCGCTTGCAGAAATTTTACGTTAACGTTCTTTTACGTAATTTTAACACAGGACAGAACATGGTACCAGTTTAGACTCAAGGGATCTAGGGTTTAAAAACACGGACTTTTGCCTGTTGCAGTCGCAAAGTGCTTGTTATATTATGCGCGTAGATCCGGCTTATATTTCATCAGAAATACCTCTTGGCAGTTAAAATGTTCTAATTAGGTATCTTTTTTGCGGCGTTATGACCGGAGTTATCGTGCCTTATTACCTTAATTTGGTTCATCGTAATCTAGACTAGTGATAGCTAGGGGACACAATGCATCGCTATGTGCTGAGGATTAAGCCGCGGGTCCATCATGCGGAGGAAGACACGTGGGAGCAAGTCATAGACACGCTCAATACGAAACGGATTTGGAATGAAAAGAAGCTGGGATAAATCTTTTAAAATGGGACGCGTGGAAAGGCATATAATATTGTTTACAATGAAAAGGAATGCTGAATTTACAAAGTTTCTTCTTTCATGCATGTTCGCTGACTATCCCATGGTAAGGTATTGAACAGAAGCCGCGTCTAGAGGTTGACACTTTGTGTCCTCCAATCACAGCCTACGCCGCACCTCCCTTTGAAATTTTTATAGGTGGGGACCCAGCATAGTACCAAATCGCCGATCTCAGGAACTAGGGAATTCTGCTAGGCTAGAACGGTTTCCTACGATAGAGTTTGGCACAAAAACGAAAATAACACGTCGTTTAGCGCACTGCGCTACGTACTTCTGTTGCATGTTCGCATCTCCATAATCAGAATAAGCCCCGATTTCTTCGTTGATGGGCATGAATGGGGCGTCACCGACGTGACCAGTTCCTATACCGACTGTGTTTACCTACTTTTCGTAAATAATAAAATGCCCGGCCGATGCTAGACTGGTACCCGTTCGCCACCTTCACTCCGGCAAGTATCCTTCGCTACACTGACGCTGTTAGTGTAGCGTGTGGAACTGTCGACCGGGTACCAGTCTAGGCCGATGCCAAACTTCACGCAGCGCACCTTCGTACACTCAGGATACTCGTAGGTTGAGCCCGTGAGCGAGAGCGCCATCTGTCGTGGAGTTTGGGCCGATGCGATGCATTTTTTGCGTTTTCTGCGTGATTATTATTTTGCGCAGGCACTCATTTATGAAATCCTCCAACATTTGTACTTCTTCCATTAAGTCCATGTTTCACTGTTATTTAGGAAGAAAGGTAAAACTGTGCATTCGCATAATTTCACTCTTGCTTCTATAGTATGATTTCCATAATTTTGCTCTTCTGCCCATGATAATATTTCCCTCACCATGAACCTACATTTTTTAGTTCGGACTCTTGTCATATCGTTCTAACCTCCTATATCATTAATTAAATCCCCTAGGTATGAATATTTGGTGCATTTTTTGATTACTTGGTTGCCTATTAATATCTCCTTCTCTATCCTTTCTTTGTTGGTAAATTTTATAACCATTGTATTTGTTTTGTTCATATTAATTTCTAATCTTTTTCATTCAGCTAATCTGGAGCATGACTGAGCAATTTTTGTTACTGTTTTATAATCTCCGATTCCTAGAATATCGTCCATATATAATCATTGTCATCTTCTAAAACTACAGACCATCCGCTGACCGCTGTGGAGACGTGCGCCGGGCCTCGAATTTGGGCTAACGCTCCATTAGGAGTGTTCCCAACTTTGATATCATTAATGATTAATGATTAATGATTGATAATCCTAATCCTAACTCTAACCCTAACCCTAACCCTAACCCTAACCTAAATGACATTAAACCACAAACTAATATATGACCATGACCATATATATATATATGTTATTATGACCATTAATGACATTAAAGTTGGGAACACTCCTAATGGAGTATCACCCCGAATTTGGCGCACGTCTCCACTGCGGACAGCGCTTCATACTTGAACATCCCCGCTGTCGCGTGCGCATATCCCGCGGAACTGCGCGTCTCATCCGCGCGCAGCACTTAGGATCAACAGCAAAGCTGTGCCACGCAATCTTGTATCATGTCTCTCTGGTTTGTTGTAAAGGCGTAGTGAGTGGCTTACGAGCATGCGCGTTAAGTACTTCCTCGAAGCCAGTCAGGCAGATAGGCACGCGACAACCACAAACCACGTATCAGTGTGCGAGACATGTTCATTGGTAAGACAACGCTATTTACGTAGACGGTGGACACCCAGACATCTCAGCGATGTAAGTAATACGTATAATACTTTCAGTTTGTGGTAAATTATTATAACGGTTGGTTTGCTACGCATGGAACACTTGTTGTAACGTAATGTTTAACGCTTGGCGTATTTTCTTTGTAATTTCAGTTAAAACCAAACGCAACCACACACAACCACGTACAGTAGAGAATAAAGGACAAATGTAAATAAGACTATGTGTGCGTATTTCTCGCTGAACCATTTTTTAAATCGACAACACCGAACGACAGACAACGTAACCGGACAGCTACATAGTTTTAAATCGACAACACTCAACGACAGACAAGGTAACCGGATGGCTACAGTGATCGTGATAGTGATAGTGATAGTGATTGTGACTGTGATTTCGATAGTGATTTCGATAGTGATTGTGATTGTGATTGTGACTGTGATTGTGATTGTGGTAGTGATTGTGATTGTGATTGTGATTGTGATTGTGATTGTGATTGTGATTGTGATTGTGATTGTGATAGTGATTGTGATTGTGATATAGTGATTGCTATTGTGATAGTGATAGTGATTGTCATTGTGATTGCGATAGTGATTGTGATAGTGATAGTGATAGTGATAGTGATTGTCATTGTGATTGCGATAGTGATTGTGATTGTGATTGTGATTGTGATTGTGATCGCGGTAACGACAGTGATAGTATTATTGATTACGAGTGTGATGGTGGTAGTGGCAGTCATAGCGATAGAGATTGCAGTCATTAACGAGGTCTTGGTCATGGCAATACGAGCCATAGCAAAGGTGAAATGTGAGAACAGTCAATCCCCAGAATTTATTGAAATCAAGAGTTGCATTATACGTATACAGTTTTGATGAGAATTGAATCACGTTAATGCAGTTTCGATTTATTTGGATGAGGCACATTGGACGTTAGAAAATTACAATGAATACGAAAAAGCTTTGTGGATCGCGATAATGATAGTGGAAGTTTAATAGCGATGTTAAATATAATGCGTGACGTGGCGAGAAATATATTTATTCGTAACATCCAACATTATACTACCGTGATAGCATCGTCATCCGCAGTCCGGGAATAGCTCGACCGGCAGCTGCTCTTCCGCCATCCTGTCATCCACCAAGCTTTTACCGGCTTTGATCAGGATCTGATTAACGAGAGAGACTGTTTCACATGATCTGTCCGAATAATAATCGCGCCAAAAATGAGTAGGCGTACATCACTAACCGATTATTTTGAAACTACAGGCGTGTAGTAAAAATGTAAATTTCAAGGTTTTACTAAAGCGTACGTATTACATTACGTGTGTTTCAAAACTACAATTAAAGCCTACACGCTAGCGTGAGCACATACACGTATAATGCGCGACATACATGCAAATTTGTATCCTCTGTTTTCTGACTGACAACCATCCACGATAGGCGACCGACCGATTAGTAATTAAATATAACGGGCGCGAGGGTATTTGGCTGCTTCACTTGATTATTAATTAGTTTAGTGGCGAGAATGTGTAGCGCTGATCACGACTAAAAGGTTACCCGCTGTCGGCGTGCAGCGCCAAATTTGGTGGCCAACTGAAGCGCATTATTGAAAAAAACTATTGTGAAGTCTCATGGGCTGTTCAAAGTTCATTCTAGGCACGGGGTTGACTCACCACATAATAGATACTACGTTGACGTAGAAGGGGCTAAATTAACGGTGTCATATAGACTAGAGGCAAAATTAATATCAAACGAAGAAGCTTGATTTGTAACAATAACGAAATTACCGAAGAGACAAATTGCAGAAACAAGACATTACAGTAAATACTCTGTGCCAAAGTTCACTTGGTGGGCGTAACACATTAAAAGTTATTGACTTTTTTGTGACTGACCCAAAAATGTTTAAGCGGTTGTTATTCGACTTGCCTATGGTTTCTATTTATTCGATTTGTATAAAAGTTAATTAATAAAATATTTAGGCAAGACTCACAACACCAAGGTGAACTTCAACACTCTGGTTTAGTTGTGAAGGGAGGGAAATAACTAATAGGATCCACCGCGTGACGACGAAGGCACGCGCGGTGTAAGAAAATCTCACTTACAGTGCACATGGGTGTAACAAAGGGTGCTTTACAAAGAGTAAGGTGCGATAGTGTAAACCCGATTTTACAAGCGACGACCCGCAGCTTGTTACAGCTATGCGTTACATTCGCGTAACTAATGACGTTGATGACACTGCATTATATCGGATGCACAGCTGCCATCAGGAAAGCCGCTGACTATATCTCGTTATTACATCTTTACCGACTAGCTGGTATTAACCCGTATCGTATAAGCCTCAGTTAAGATCACTTGACGACATATTGCTATCATATTTCATCCCATAACAGGCTCGCTAATGAAGAAATACATCTGCTGCCAGGATGAGCCTATGTGAACACATGCGACCAAAAGACATTTGAGCAGCGTGCGCCTGTAGATTTTTGATGGAGTATGACGAGGAGACGATTGCATGCACGCACCGGATAGCGAGAGAGCGGATGCGCAACTTTTACACAAGTAATAGCTGCTGCTTATAAACCGTATGCAGCTGAATGTTCTCAGAGCGCGACTAATTTCCTCTTGTCGCCATTACAATTATATCGAAATGAAGAACACGGAGAAATTTATTCAGAATTTGCTGCGTCGATGATTGAAGGCAGCGGAGTACGCAACCGATCTAACAACACAACACAGCTTGAGCACACACTACGCAGTGACACAGTACGCAATACAGAGGGACAGCACACACTACATTGACTGCCGATTCACCGCATTTATGACGGACCCGGGAGGAAAGCTGATATTACTCGCGTGCCTTGTGTCTGTCGTAGTGACAGATGGTAGTGAAAAGACGTGGGAAGTTGTACCAACCTTCGAAGATTGTGACGCGACCGACAGCAGCGATGATGGGCCCAGCTGTGAAAGCTGTAGAGACGGATGCGACTCGGAGTTGTTACTCGGCATGTCTGTCGACAATAGAACTACGAGTGCGATCCGTCTCACGTTCGACCTGGCGCCGTTCATTAAGAATCTCGGCACTAGGTCCATTTACGGAGAGCCGCCGTCTCTTAGATTCGACGTGCAAGGCGTCACCGCACATCTAAAGCTGCGCTGCCTTCACCTGACCGGGTCCGGCCAAGACGCATTCTCTGGCATGATACAGGCGAGAGCCAACTGGATCTCACCGTACACCTACGACACCTACAGCCCTATCGACGTGAACAGTGTCGTTTACTACGACGATGTGTTAAGCGACAGCGCTCGCGACACGGTGGATACAGGCGCGGGTCCCGAAATTGACGTACTGCAGCGGCTCTTTGTTAGCAGTGAACAGTGTGCATCGGAGAGCGTATCCCTACCGCTGACCGACATTGTTCAGCTGTGGCTGCAGAGCAAAGCCACCATGCCTCTGAATCTCACAATCGAATGCGTCGAGCATCGTAGCGGCTCTGCATCCGGCATAGCCTTCAGCGGGAATATACGCGAGCGCTCACCGCACCTTATCATCGACTTTCAGGGACGAGGTGAGTTAATAGACTTGCTATGTGTCGTGTGTCAGTAACAGGTGCTTGTATAGTGTTTTTGTTTGCAGCGTGTCCACTTCACTTGATTGCAGATCGGCCGTGTATTGCCTCAACTATAGATACAATATTTAATCTATAGAGTAGCAAGCCGGGAATTAACATGTACCGTCGGAAGAACCGTGGAAATGTTGTAAGAACATCATTACTAATTATTGCTATCATAAGTCTAAATTTTTGCATTAAGTTTTCATAATGCTTCACTGCGCTAATATTTTGCGTTCTAGAAAACATTATGACATTTTAGAATTTTGATTTCATGACTATTTAAACACGAGTGTTTGTTTACATCGAACGGAATCGCAAAATAGGAAGGTCTAATGCAGCAATTTAACCATAAAAAGTGAACAGAATCACTTTCATTTTGTGCAAAAGTGGACATAATATTTTTACCTTTACTATTTTCGGTGACGGAATCACTTTAACAACGAACCCCTGGATTTATCTTAGATGTTTAACGCTATACCTGGCCACTATCATAAAACATGGCCAGCGCAATACAAGGCACCACTAGCTTTGCGCCTACAGGCAATCTGAGCATCGTGTCTGTGCACATGCTTTTTGTTCTAAAACAAAAATTCTTCAAGCGAGAAAAATGGCATGGCGAGATGTACGTAAAAAATGGTATGGTATTAGCTAAATCAATATTTTTTGGTTCTGAAGAGTGCAAAGAGTGCAACAAGTAGCAACATTTGGTCCATTGTCAAAAGCCTTAAAAATAGTAACCAACAATGAAATCGTGTTCGCCCACCCTCACGTGTAGGACGCTGTATTGTGTGATGTATGTGTCGGACGAATAGTGTCGAATAGATTATGTGAATCAAGTGATACGCTGGCTCCGCTTTCCTATGCCAGTGTCGCTGCCCTCTGTGGCTGACGACATCCTGGTCACGGCACCAAAATGAAATCGTGTTCTCCCACTCTCGCGTGTAGGACGCTGTATTGTGTGATGTATGTGTCGGACGAATAGTGTCATCCGACGTTCCGTATCAGATGATGTGAATCAAGTCATACGCTGGTCACTTGCTCCAAAATGATATCCTACCCGTTCATCTACGATGATGCGCCGTTCGTATATATGTCCTTGCGTTGTGTTTCTACCAGGCTCGTACGGGCAGATATCATTGGTTATTAATGTTACTCGTGTGTAGTGTAGAAGCGAGGTCTCTGTAGATACGTGCTCGTAGATATAGGAAAACTAGATAGTCGGTGAATAAATCGAGTAGTGATTTATTTAGAAGCGTAGAATAGTTGCGATAACAGTCCCGTAATTTTAGAAAACACAGTAGATTTAACGGCAGAGTCGTCACACATAAAGAAACTAAGACGGTTTTAAACAGCACACCAAACACGGCTTTCCTCTAAGACTCTGCTTTACTAACTATCCCTTTGACTGCTGCCACACCTTTTTCCTCTCTGGCTCGGGACGCGCTCACGGTCAAATATGGTTGTAGAAACGCGCACTCGGCCTGACGTGTCCAAGTTCGCTCGCCCTCTCTACGCAGTTACAAGTCAAGGCTTCTACGATGGCGCGTGCTAGGCGCGTGTGAAGACGCGGCTTTGCTTTCCGTTGGTACCCCATTGAAATCACGCGTAACAAATGGGTGGGGCTTAGCCCACTGTTACAACATAAGTCTAAAATATCATAACCTTGGCGCAAAAACTTCACTTCTAAAGTTAAAACCTTGATGATGCCATAACTACCTGTGTTTTTTTCTGACAACATGCCTAAGCATGCCTAACAGCCTAAGCATGCCTAAGCAGCCTAAGCATGCCTATAGGCATGTTGTCAGAAAAAGCACAGGTAGTTGTGGCATCATAAGTTTAAACGGTTTTAAGTTTAGAAGTGAGGTTTTTTGCGCTAATGTTGTGATATTTTATACTTATGTTGGTTACGATTTTTAAGACGTTTTGTCAACGGACCAAATGTTGCTACTGGTTGCACTCTTTGAACTGTTCAGAACCAAAACATTTATTTGGTTCAATCTCGCCATGCCATTTTTCTCGCGTGAAGAATTTTTGTTTTAGAACAGAATGCATGTGGACAGACACGATGCTCAGATTTCCTGTATGCGCAAAGCTAGTGGTGCCTTGCGCTGGCCATGTTGGCAAATGTTCTATACATTTATTCTTTCTTCCAATTATTTCGTTTGCTCTCCGACCACCGTTTACTAAATTACAGTCACTTTCTTTTTTAGCACGAATTCTTTTTATATCTTGACAGTTATATTACATCATTTACATAATCGACAAGTTGAGTTAGCAGAGTAGTAGCACGCAGAGTCAGTGTGAATATCGATCAGTGCCTGTACAACTACTACTCGTGATAGTTCTGAGAGCATTCCACCCTAAACGATCATTCGATCTAAGCTGCCCCAGAATTTGATCTTGCACGTCATCGAGTATAAACAGGCAGGTCACTCATCGATCATCCATGTGATTGTATGCTTCAAACTGAATGTGCCTGTAATATAAACATTTATGGACGCTATATGGTAGGCCTACTGATCAATGATAGCTGGCCAACAATCCCCAAGAGCTAGTGCCTGCCAACTAAACTATTCACGAATCCAGGCGACAAGGAACGCGACACACAGAGCACGAACCATTTACTTCTGACAGAAATATATATATTATAAGACTAATATAAGACTAATATATATATTATAAGACTAATATAAGACTAATATATATATTATAAGACTAATATAAGACTAATATATATATTAATTCCGTATCGGATTCCGTATTGGATTTCGTTCTATTGCATTTCTGTATTACGCCTTCCATGCACACATCGCATCAAAATATATGACATCGAAGTGTCAACACGAATAACATTACTATGTTGTTCATGTAAAGCTCTCCCCCGCTGGCACAACTACCTCCGCTAACACAACTACCCCCGCTAGCACAACTACCCCCGCTGGCACAACTACCCCCGCTGGCACAACTACCCCCGCTAGCACAACTACCCCCGCTAGCACAACTACCCCCGCTGGCACAACTACCCCCGCTGGCACAACTACCCCCGCTAGCACAACTACCCCCGCTGGTTAAACTACCCCCGCTGGCACAACTGCGGCTGCAGTATTGTTTGCTTGGACATGCAGTGATCGTGCGCGTGGTAAACCCTTTTGTAACGTCTTACTTTAGTCCACGTCTGATATACGCTACTGGCCGCGTGATTTTTTTTTAGGTCAATCAAGAACATAGGGCTTTAGTGAGCGCTGCCAATGGTTGATACAAATCACGTGCCTAAAACTCCTGTTTTATGGTGCATTCACTGCATTGTGACCCTAACCCTAACCCTAACCTACCCCTAACCCTAACCCTAACCCTAACCCTAATCCTAACCCTAACCCCAATCCTAATCCTAATCCTAATCCTAACCCTAACCCTATTTTTTTTTTAATATAAAAAATATAATTTTTAATTGTAAAAATTAATTGTTGTTATTAAATTGTTGTAAATAAATCATGTAAATATTTGCGTTAATTGGAAAAAAAAATGATTAAACGGATAAAGATAGAAAAATACAGAAAACATTAAAATAATTAAAAAATGGATTGTATTCGATCCACCGACCTTTCAGCCTTGAATTGCGTGCTGTACTCGCTCGGCTATTGATGGATATTGAAATTGTGAATTTTGGATGTGCTATGAATATGACGACACTGTGACGTCATTGAGCGACGAAACAAGCTCAACCAATAGCAGCGCTCACTAGAGCCCTATGTTCTTGATTGACCTAGGAAAAAAAATCACGCCTACTGGCCCACTAAGAGCTGCTGTAGGCTTAGCCTGAAGTTACCTTCTCGCATGGCGAGAAGTTCACTACGACATCATACGACGTGGAACAGTCGGGATACTATTGGCTAAACGTTACACGGAGCGCAGCGTGTTTGCTAATCATAGTTGTAATTTCTTTGGGCGAATACCGTTTGGGTAAGCGCGTGGGCTGCAGCCAGCGTGAATACAACTAATTTATAAATGCAATAAGATATGGACAATCGCGGAAAACGGTGCCGCACTGTAAATTAACGACTCCAGAAATACGTGAGGTGCTCAAAGGTTTGTCTTTGCACTGACAGCAGTGTAGGCAACTCTGTCAGCGACACTTTAAAATCGAGCTATCCGTTTAAAGAGGTACAGCTCACTCAATCAGCGATAGGGACGTTCTAATAACCGCTGCTCACTAACGGTGCACGCGTGGCAAAGCTCATATACATTGGTCATAGCAACAGTGTTCAAGGGGCATGGTTATCTCGCCCAGACCGATACCAAGAGTCCACAATAGAAAATTATAGAAATCTAGAAAATATAAATATATAGAAAAATAATATTAAAAAAATCGATAGAAATCTTCTATTATATGGACTGTTGCCGATTTGTAAATCACGTAAGCAGGGAGATATTGAAGAGTATCGTACGAACGTTTGCCCTTGCTATATGGACCGCGAATGCACTGGTTCCAAATTCCACGTCGATGCTCGACGACTTACGGAGTCGACCATTACGACGAACAAGCTGTGTCTATATGTCATTGTTAATTACGTTCCTTTAAATCACCATAAAATTGAGCATTTCATAGGCTTCATAACGTTATTACTAGACGTACCCCCGGAAACAAGAGGGCTGATTGTAGTTTCGGTGCAAATAGAAATGGCCGCGTAGAAAATTTGGCATCCAGTAGAAAGATTAAATTCACAAACATTTATAAAATGTATAGTTTCATGCATATTTTATACAAGTTATTTCAGTAGATCTGGAACAAACAAAATGCATTATTCATGGGCTTGCACAAGGTTTCGCATATTGAGTTCATTTCTTGATGGGATTTGATGCAAGGCCGGCCATATTTTGTCGTGTTCGCTCCACGCGCTAATAAGATAATAATATAAGATTGCCTGCTAGCTATAACGCGAACGACGTCATATGTTGACTTACGTATTCAACTTCTCCTCACTAGATTCTCATTTTAATTACTTTTATAAATACATATAGGCGGATGAACTTTGCTCAAGCAGATGATTGGCCTATGAACGCACAAGTGTTTCTCTGCAGCTTCCAGCGTTTTCATGCACACGTCTAGGCGTGCGCGTGTTTGTCTAGGAGCGCGTGCACGTAATTACGCCGACTTGAACAGCTTGTGCACTAGCACCTGGTACATACTGTACGCAATTAAAAAGGACACGTGATTAGATCCATTATGTGAGACAGGTTAAGCATCCAAGGAAGTTATAGAACGAAGCCATTAATTGAAACTATTCAATAAATAATCTTGTCTTTTCAGACAAGATTATTACGTATTACCGTAGGAAATTCTGTTAGTCCAATACGATTACAAAATTTCTATACTTGGAGAAATTCCACTAAGTTCTAAGTTGTGAGCTGGTAGGTTCCCTGGGAATAACTGCAATTTTTATTTTTATTTGTGTTTTTTTATCAATATTTGTTATAGGCATATAAAATCCATCCGTTTTAAGCAACGTATGTAAAGGTATCTAATCTCGATTAAATTAATTCGATTAATCTCGATTAAAGGTGACGTGATTGACTATGTTTTTGCGTTGAGATTTTTTATTCTTTACTTCTACATTATTCGCTTTGGATCCGCAGGGCATGTAGGATAAAACAATGGTTTTCTCACGTTTGTCGCAAAAATTGAAACAGAATCGGATAAAATTGGCTTTGTTAGTTCGTAGCTTTAAGTTCGCTCGTTCTTTTAACGTCCTTTAACGTCGATACCATTACAACGTCATGCTTGTGCTCGCGGCAAACACTCGATCCCTCGTAGATATCGTTCTCGCCACTCATTCGTTTGTGAAATAGGTATGCGCGGTATAATCTCTCTCGTGTTTCGTTCTTGACTACATTCGTTCTTGACTTTTCGTCGTCTGTTTGCAATTACGTCGATCATAAAACATCATAAAACATCATAAAACATGATGTTCGAAAGCGTTGAGTTTACATTTCCACTAACGGTACACCTAAATGAACATTTCGAATTGTCATAATTATAAACGATGTCTTTTCATTTTTTTAAAGGGGAAGGTTACGTGACAAGTTTCTCTGCTATACCTGACAATTAAAATATTTTCATTTTGGTAATGACATGCCATCACATTATGACACATGCATGCATACAAGATGCAAATGGAACAACGTGCAACCTCCATCTCTAGGTTGTGCGTGCATGTAAAAGGGTTATTCAAAGCAGATAACCCCAGTTCAGCCCCTACTTTTGGTTTAACTCGGCAGGCATAATCATGAACACACACCACACGCACGCACGCTCTCACGCACACCCACACACACGCGCACGCAAGCACGCACGCACGCATATTATATATATATATATATATATATATGACGAGAGAGATGAGAGAGAGAGAGACGGAGAGGAGAGAGCTCGGATGACGAGGGAGAGAAGAAACGGGACGACGAGTAGACCCCGGACCGGGAACGACGGAAAGACAGCAAAAGAGGGAGAGAGCAAGGAGGGAGAGCAATCGATTGCGGGGAGCGGGGCGGCGGCGCGGGCGCGCCGGACGCCCGCGTCGGCGGGCCGGGGGCTCGGGGGGGACCGGGCGTGGTGGCAGAACGCCTGAGGGCCTGCAGCCAGCAGGGGGAGCGTAAGGGAGGCCGCGACGTGAGTGAGAGAGTCAGAGAAGCGCGCGTCGGGGAGCGAGGCGAGAGAGCCTAATGGGGAGATGAGAGAGAGAGAGAGAACGAGGCGATGGCAGAGACAGAGTTCGCGGAGAGACGAGAGAAGAGAGCAGCAGAGGAGCAATCACACATCTGTCCGTGGCATTACCTCGTTGCGCCTGCAGCCGGAACTGTCCATCAGTGAAAATGTGTCAGATGCATGAGTCAATTAAAGCGATCTACGTATATGAATTAGTTTCGTAATATGCGTAAATTTCGTACTCCTTGCCATATTTCTACGAAAATTCATGAATATCAATTAATTTTGAACAGCGTCATTTATTACATTGATAAAAACGCAATTAAATTTGATAAATATGTAAAACGCACTTAGAGAGGCTTTGAGTGATGTGCACAATATTAGTGCATGGCTGCAGATCTTGACAGCGCATGCGCTTATTAATTCAGCCATACGGTGGACGGATGGGTGTATGTACTCGGATGAACAAATGTTGGGAGTTGGGATGGCGGCATTCCTAAAACCTACTATTATTGTTAGCGTTATTTTGGTTGTTTACAATAATGAAGCAGCTAGCTTGTGTGATATTTACTAGAAGATTTATTTTGCGCGTAATTACTGGCCTCCGATATTTGGTTAGCGATGTGCGTGATAGGTGAGAGTAAATATTCGATATAGCTGAATATTGGAATATCTCTCTTCGTATAACTACTGTTATTCGTGATGCTAGCCGTAAGATATGGTTATGTACTCCTTTCATGCTACATCATGTGTGTCTAGGCTGACTCGTCAGAAATCAGAAGAAGCTGGAGGTAGGCGTCAATGTCTTCACGTTTTCTACAACCAGATAATATCGCTATGCTATAGAGCTTGTTCGCAACAAAAAATTGACAATAGGAGAAATGGAAAAACGGAAGCGCGTCTTCGCGCACCTATTGATTTTCGTTGAGACTAATGAAATGTGTTAATTGCACTCATCTAAAAATAGATATGTGGCGCGTCGGAAGGTTTTCATAAGCGACTCTTCTTCCGATTGTTCAACTCTATGTAAGGATGTTATATAGATGTACGAGACATGACATATTTGTAACAATGCTCCAGAAATTACATTAATAGTTTGACTGAACAATATTTAATTTGAGTCGTGCAACACATTATTGTCGGCACACCAAAGTTCACGAATCTCACATTGTCTTTGTCACAAATGTTACTATACATTGCCTATTAATAATTGCACCACCACTGAATATATAACCATTCGGGATTGTTCTATGTAACCGAATTAAAGATACATACGTTGGAGACAGAGCGAGACAGAAATACGACTTAGTCAGCGATGGTGAGAATATCGTAATAATCACTGTAAACAAATAATTGCCGTCTAAATGATAACTGTCGCGTCACTGCGTTGGTAAGGTATGGTATGGTATGGTATGGTATGGTATGGTATGGTATGGTATGGTATGGTATGGTACGGTACGGTACGGTACGGTACGGTACGGTACGGTACGGTACGGTACGGTACGGTACGGTACGGTACGGTACGGTACGGTACGGTACGGTACGGTACGGTACGGTACGGTACGGTACGGTACGGTACGGTAATATATCATATATCATATATCATATATCATATATCATATATCATATATCATATATCATATATATCGTATCGTATCGTATCGTATCGTACCGTACCGTACCGTACCGAGCCGTACCGTACCGTACCGTACAAATATATGATATATGATATATGATATATGATATATGATATATGATATATGATATATGATATATGATATATGATATATGATATATGATATATGATATATGATATATGATATATGATATATGATATATGATTATATGATAATAATTATATGATTAAATAATTCATAATTAAATAATAATGAAAGAACAGCTCATCCGTATAGGTAGATAGCTATACATGGTGAGCGGGCTATGCTGCGGTATAGCCGAGCACGGTGCCACATAGCAAGAGCTCAAGGCAATGTTAAGACCACTGTTGAAGTACCCTGGCCAAGTACGCGACTACCGGGCGTGGCCAGGGCAGGTTTTGAACTAATTACAAATATCGAGAGCATTTATAATCGAGTTTTATAAAGACTGATATCGAAGGGGAGGCGTGGGACGACGGCAGGGGCAGGTTGAAGCTACAGCCAGCCGTAACTAGACAGAAATGTGCGCAGACGAACAAATAGCGAGAGCGAGATAGGGAGCGAGACAGGACGAGAGAAAGAGAACGAGAGAGAGAGAGAAAGAGAGAGAGAGAGAGAGAGAGAAGAGAGAGCGAGCGAGAGGGAGAGAGCTAGAGACAGAGAGAGAGAGAGAGAGAGAGAGAGAGAGAGAGAGAGAGAGAGAGAGAGAGGAGAGAGAGAGAGAGAGAAAGAGAGAGAGAGAGAGCGAGAGAGAGAGATAGAGGAGAGAGATAGAGAGAGAGAGAGAGAGAGAGCGAGAAGAGAGAGAGAGAGAGAAGAGAGAAAGAGAGATAGAGAGAAGAAGAGAGAGAGAGAGAGAGAGAGAGAAAGAGAGAGCGAGAGAAGAGAGAGAGAGAGAGAGGGGGAGAGAAAGAGAGAGAGAGAGAGAGAGTGAGAGAGAGCGAGAGGGTGAGAGAGAGATAGACAGTAAGAAAGAAATAGAGGCAACAAGATAACAGAGCGAGAGCGAGAGAGAAAAGAACGAGGAAGAGAGAGAAATGAGTGGAACGAGAGAGCGAGAGAGAGATCGAGAGAGAGAATATATAGATCAAAAGAGAGAGAGAGGAGAGAGAGAAGAGAGAGAGAGAGAGAAGAAGAGATGAGATCGAAAGAGAGAGAGAGAGAGAGAGAAGAGAAGAGAACAAGAGGGGGGGAAGGGTTATAGCGTTATGTGTGTAACGTGTGAGTAAGAAGATGTGGTGATGGCAGTAACGACATAGTGATGTTATAGAGAAGGCGCTAGGATGTGCTGATACAGCTCCATTAGGATGTTTCCAACTTTTATATCAATTAATGATTAATGAATGTAATGATTAATGATTGATAATGCTAAACCCTAACCCTAACCCCAACCCTAACCTAACGCTATAAAACATAACCTAACCATAATGACATTAAAGTTGGGAACACTCCTAATGGAGTATCACCCGCTAGTAGCGCTGCATAGGAGTCTAATATATATAGTGTCCCCGCAGGGGGGTACTGCGGAACTACCCTGGGAGCATAGACGCCTGACAGGCCCATAGTATGGCGAAGATGTGCAATTAGTAGCATGCGCGACAATGTAACGAAGCCTGAACGACTGGCTGGATACATCGTAAAAGACCAAGGTCGTCCTATTGCGTTAATAAAACATCGGAAGCCCATGATCCGCTCTCACAAAGGCCCGATCGGGCACGGCAACCCGTTC